GAGGCTGAGAGGCAGCAACTACAGGAGTGACCGCTTGCATACTTCTGTTTATATCTGTGCAGCTTTGCACTCTTGGGGATTATAGGTTCTAGTTCCTGGACGTTGGCAGTGGTGACAATTCAGAGTTATACCAAATACCCTCACTTCAGTGGAACCTGTAATTACCACGTGCCAATGTTTTGTTCTTTGTTGTCAGTGGCCCCACAAGCAAAGGAAAAGGGGACTATAATGGTTGGGAGTTATAACTGATACACATCAAGGATGAGGATTATTTGCACATGGTGGGAGGTTGGAGGGTGCCAGGAAACAGGCACTTCTAAACTTTGCACTAAGCAGTGGCTCTCTAGGAACAATGAACATAACCTCAACTGAGCACTCACACCCTGGGAAGGTCTGGGTTACCCCACCAAGCAACACTCCAGACTACTAACTCCTCATCCACATCGGTACTGAGCAAAGGAGCCACCCCACTGTCTCACTAACATGCATATGTTAGCTTGTTTGGGGTGAGTTAGCAGCATGCCTTAACTTTATGGGTCTTTGGGTATGAAAAAGATTTAAATTTTGGTTAAGCTGAGTCCACACTTGTAATCCCAGCACTCAGGGTGTGGAAGCAGGAGACTCCAGGAAAATGGAAAGTTCTAGGCAAACCAGGGCTGTGAGACTCCCAGCACAGTAAAAAAAAAAAAAAAAAAAAAAGGTGGGAGAACAGCCTGGGTATTTTGTTTGGGGTTATACTTAAGTCTTACTTTAAAGGCCCTCTGTTTTTGTCTGTAACTTTTTTAGATGGTCTCTTTCCATCTTCCTGCTTCAGCTTCTTTAGTGGCTAACACCTTCTCACATAAAAATTATAGCAATACTCTCGACTTGTGACTTCTTTAAATAACTAGTACTAGTACTATCTATGAACATGAAATGTTTCAATTATTCTAGAAAGCCTTTGTTTTTCCCTCCCAAAAGATTTAAGAAAAGTCCTTTGTGTAGCTGCTAGTGTTACTGTAAATGGGATACTTTTAATTTTTTTCTAATTGCTGTTACAATGTACAATAACTTTCATATATCGATACCCTATTTTCCAATGCTGCAGAGTTTAGCATAGTAACACTAATAGTTTACTTATATTTCTAAAACAAACAGGAACAGTTGAACATTTTTAGAACACAAGAGTAATTAAAAAATAAATCCTCTATTGTATTAGCACTGCCACGATATGCTTACCTAATTAAGCCAACATAGCTTAAATTTTTTTTTTTTTTTTTACAGTACAATATTAGGAACTGAAACTAGGGCCTTGCACTGTAGCACTGAGCAAAATCCATCTCCAGTCCTCATTTTAGTTTTCATTTATTTTGAGAAAGTCTCACTAAGTTGCTTGACTGGCCTTGAACTAACTGTAACCTACACTGACTTGAACTTTCCATCTTCCTGCTTCAGCTTCTTTAGTGGCTAAGATAACAAGCCTGTCTTACCAAAGTCTGTGCCCTTGTCTTGTTTCTAACTTGGCTTATGGAAAGCCTTGAAGCTCACAGAGAGGACTTCTGTGGGTCACCTGTCCCTCTCAGGTACATTTGTTCTCACTGAATACCACAGAATCCAGAGCTTTAGGACTTAAGAGTCCAGTATATTTTTCAGAGAACTTCCTGGGGACTTGGTACCACACCCAAGAACACAGTGTTCATATACCTTCAGGAAGGTTAACTCTTGTTAACCTTAGCACCAGAGCTACCTTTGTTCCCAGTAAAACTTCTCTGTCCAAGATGACACACAACTCCAGAGCAAGGGTTCCTAGAGCTGCACATGTTCTTGGGTAGAGCCCACCAGACCCAGACTTGCATCACATTAATGTCAGAACTGATACTTCCCCCAAAATGGTGGGTCTGGTTCTGACCATCCCTCTGAGGAGTTAGTGAACTGAATCTGTCCCAGGGATGCTGCCTGGGAGGAGGCCCTATAAATGGCATGTCCATCAGATCTCCCATCTCTCTCATGGTGTCTTCAGCAGAAACCGTATTCTTAGCTGATCAGAAGATATTGAATTTTTGTGTATTTCATACAGGGCATCTTCAGTCATATTAATACCCCTGACCCTACCAGCACCCTCCCATAGCCCCCCTCCCCCGCACACACACTGGAGCCCATATACTCTGTCATCTCTGTTATGGCTCACTGTGTCATGTCAGTGTCCCCAGACGGGTCCATTCACTGAGGTTGAGTCAGCCTATCTAGACTCCCTTGTTTTAGGAAGATCAGCTCTTCTTCACCTAGCAGTAATCAGTTGCCAATATTATTCAGATAAGATTGGGGTCTGCTGTTCATTTTCCCAGTTCTATGCTGGGTTTTTAGAATTATATGAGCAGGTTCCCAGGCGCTTGTAGGGCCCTGTTTCTATATGGTCCTGCACCTCCTCCCTGGCTCTTAAAATCTTTTTACCTTCTCTTCCAGGGTGGTCCCTGAGCCTTGGGTGGGTGACGTTTAATAAAGGAGTCCTATCCAAGGACCAGCATTCAGCAGATTCTTGATCTTTACGCTTTGGCGATTTATGACCTTTTGTGTTCCTGGCCCCCTGCTACATGAGGGAGCTTCATTAATGAGAACTGAGCTTCATTAGTGTCCTCTTCCTTACTCCTGTTCTACGTTCCATGAGCCTTAGGTGTAGAAGCTGCATTGCAGATGTGTCACTTCGGCCTGGGTAATTCATAGACAATGTCCATGTGTGACCAGTTGTAGTACTTGGTAACGGTCTCAGACTGGTGCAAAATGAGCTGCTTTGAGGAGCCGGTGACTACGATATTTGTAAATACAAGGATACATATTTTTCACATAGTAAGAAATCACATTAGTCTAGGATTGTGACAGTCTTGGGGTTTTCTCTAAGATCTATGACCTCTCCAGCCATGTGTACTTGGTTATGTTTACAGTACCACACTCAAGTTTCCTCTCATTTAAAGGGCTTTTAGTCCAATTAGGTAGCTGTTGATTGTCCCCAAGATAAAAGTGCCACTATTTCACCAATGTCCTATGTTGTGCTGGCCATTGATGTGATTATTCGGTCTTGAAGCTGGTGTTGGATCATTCTTTGATGTGTTCCCTTGGCACCTTCACAGCGTTCTCCAAAGCTATGAGAGCGAACCTTCAGGGGAAGTGGTTTCAGGGTCAGTTGTAGCTTGCAAATCCTGTGTACAAAGTATGTTCTATCTTCAGCAGTAGGGTCTTGCCTTCAAGTTCTGGGAGGCCATCAAGGGCTGTGGCAATAGCCTGGGTGACCATCTCTCCTCCTCATGGAAAAGGGTCGGCAGTCTCCTATGGGGAATGATGGGCTGGTGCAGCAATGCAAGCTGGGCCATTCCCACAGACTGCCTAGGCTGTGGTCAGCTTGTTGCCCACAGGGCAGAGGGGAGGACGGGATTGATAGTGGGTATGGTGTAGTCAAGATGAGGATGGCATGTGTGTGTGTGTGAGGGGGTTTCTTTACACCCCCATAGCTCCATTGGCTGGTGGGGGTGACAAGTGATAGAATGTGAAACTTGGAGGAGAGCCATAAGCTTCCTTAAAGGAAGCCATAAAGACAAAAAATTCCTCCTGCTGTGCCATAGCCTGGCCTTACCCACTGAGCACTAGAGACTGCAGAGCCAACCTCAAGTACCCCAAAGACACTGATGCCTAACACCTGACACTGAGCAAATTTGACAGCTGTGTTCAGCAGTCTGTATATAAAAATCAGATTGCTCTGCTTAGCATTGCTGATGTCTGTACCTGCAGACAAAACATTGGCCCTTTGCTATGTTCTCCTGAATTAAAGAGGAAATATTCCTTGCTTATTGCAAGTCTGGCTCTGGTTCTTATTTCTTAACTTTAAACTCCGTTCTTTTTCTGTTCTCTCAAATATAACAGCAGGGAGTGGCTGCTCCGCCCCTGGCCACAGCCCTAAGCACTGTTTCTCTTTGCCTCCCTCCAGGGTCTCCAGCACCAGTTTTATACCTCCTGAGGTCCACAGCAGACCCCTCCCCACCCTGCCCAGGCAGAGTTCACAAATGCCCCAATTCCCCAGCCTCATTCCACACTGGCCTTTTTCCACAGACCCATTCCTGTCTGCAAAAACCAGAACAAAACAAAAAATAAAAAAAAAACTCCCCCCCAACCATTACTACATTGTTTATACAGAAAAGCTGAGCCTGGGATCAGCCCTCCCACTTCAGATTAAACCCATTTATCTCTAAAATGCCCTGAAGTCCTGTCTCTAAAGCCAGCTGGTCACATGACTTTATGATTGGGGAAAAAGTCAAAATACCCAGAATGAAAAGCATTATGCCTTCGAAATGGGCTAAGAGATAAGCCATTTCCAAAAGAGGTTGCTATTATTTATCTCATGATATAGAAATATCTGTAATAAAAACTCTTAGGGTTCAGATTTGCAGCAGCCCCCTCCCCAACAGGGCCTCACAAAACGTTTTGTAAGCCCCTCAGAATGCAGGAACTGAATTAATGTGCACCCTGGTCTTTGAAGGCAAGATAAGCAGACTCTGTACCTTTTGGTCAAAGACAGCCTGATTCTCCTATGATGATCTTGGAAGCAGAACAGGCTCCTCACTCCAGATCTCTTTTGCCCTCATAAGTTTGACAATGTATAAGATAGACTCCTTACCCCATAACCCAGATCCTGGCTGATGGAAGGGGGTGGTTTTAACAGGAGTTGTTCTGATAAGCCCTGGGCTCCCTCTCTCCTGCCTAACTTAAAAAAAAAAATCTTCCTGCCTTCTGCATGCCCCAAAGACCCCACCCCCTATAAAGACTGCCAGCCCACAACCTGTAGGCTGACAACTTCCCTATCCCGAAGGGAATTGTCCAGTGTGCTTTTCCTCTGCCAATAAACTCAATCCTACTGGTGTTTTGTCTGTGTCCTGGTGCTTTCTCCAGATTGACCCAATTCATCTATCAAAAACAACTAATGACCTGCTCTATCTTGTCACAATAATGGATGATTAAAAAAAAAAAGACTGATGCAGATACAAAATGAGTTCTAAGTTTATTGACAATAATTACCTAATTGGAACAAACATTTTAAAAGACATTTCTTCCCTCTCTTCTGAGGCTTTGCTGCTTTCTCCACAATGGTTCTTTCTGAGAACCTGGGCTGGGAGAAGGAAAAACAGTCAGAGGAACCTAGGAAGTTAATTCCCACACCCCAGGCCATAATGCTGGGCACCAAGCACTGTTTAGGCCATGTGTTCCAAAGGCAGCTGCTTTTCTATCTACATATAAGGATTTTAAATTCCAGTAAACACGGAACAATGCTGCTATTAGAAACATTTTCTTCCCCCATTCTGCATCCCAGTGAAGGGCCCAGTCCTGTATGTCTGGTGTGGCTCCACATTCCTGCCCACTGCTCCACTGCCTAAGGGCTACAGCTCATGATTCCAGTGCTGCCTGCCACTCCAGCTTTCCCTGATCCATTCCAGTTCATCACAATGCTCCTGCTTCCGAAGACTCTCAGTTTCCTTTTCCTTGTTCTGCTTTAAGCGTTTATGTTGTTTTTATGAAAGACCCAGCAGAGAGTCTTGCTTATGGTTCCCTGTTTGGACTGGAATGGGAAAACTTAATTTTCAGCATTTCCAAGGCAGTGTCATACCTAAGTTATTTTCCTTTCTTTTTTCTACCTGCAACTCTTTCCACTCTACTCCTGACACAGATATGGTGCACATGTTTTCAATCCTAGCGTTCGGCACAGATTTCTGAGTTTGAGGACAGCATGGTCTACATATACTGAGTTTCAGGTCAGTCTGGGCTATATAGTGACACACTGTCTTCACACCAAAAGAGAGTGCAGCGGTTAATGTTAGAAACAGCACTTTCGGCTACTAGGCAAAATCTGAAGTTTTATTCTGACTCTCCCTCAGGAGCAGCTGGAAGTGTTTCCCTGGTGGCTCCACCTGTTCAGTGGTAGAACTGCAGAGCAGGCCCAGCCACGTCCTGTTCTCAGCTTTGACTCCACCCCCCCTTTTGATTTCAGTGAGTCACCATCAGCACATATTGTTTATAATTAAGAACCCTGAATGATGGGCCCACTAAGCCTGCCAGGTTTTCCACACTGACCAACTCTGGAAACGCTATTTATATTCTGTACTGTTGGTGCCCGAGTTTGTAACATGGTTCCAGAGAATTCATCTCCATGACAGAAGGATCTATGTATTAATACGTCTACAGTATATGACACAGCATAAACAGGTAGAGAATATTTACTTAATTACATTTTAGATAACAAAAATTACTATACTGCAGTCCCGATACTTTATACTGCACTACTATACACATTCAATTCCTGCCTGTGATCAACAACCTGAGACTCCTTGGGCAAGCTGCTCAGCACCAGGAAGTAGGCTGATGATGGCTACCTAGTCTCCTTCATTTTTCTGATAGGAAAACGAACTATAAGACAATGGAAACAACTCATTGGCTTACTGTGAGAACAGGCAACATCTTTGGTCAAGAGTCTGCATGCATACAAAGCAAGATCATTTTCAACTGGTGGGATCTAGCCGAGCTGAACTTTGTAGTAATAGGACCTCAGGATGCTTGTTCCAGAGCTTCTGGCTTCCACACCTGCAATGCTCATGCTGTCGCTTTTCACGTGGGTAAATCCACTACAAAGAGAAGGGACACAGAACCATTAATCTTAGATAAAAAGCAAACATTTAAGTAGAGTTTATACATGAAGACAGAGGAGACCTGTACCATCCCAATACCATCCAGCCCACGTTCATCCCTTGTTTACTCTGGGCTTTTATATGAGAACCCAAATCTCATAGCTGGGAAATTACTATCAAATACTTAAGCTCCCTCCTGACAGCAGCTTCCTGAACCAAAATGATTCTATTGTTTTCAGAAATGTCTGGTACATTAGTTGCTTCTAACCAGAATCAACTATCTGTTCCTGGTCAGCCTCTTTGCTCTCCTGACTGAAGGCCATGTGACCAAAACAGCTCCCAGGAACAGTAATTTTCCACAAGGCAATTTATCCCAATATGTATCCACAGTCCCCAGCTATTTAAGAGAACGAGGCAGGGGGATGACTTGAGGCTGGAAGTTCGAGGCCAGCCTGGGAAAGGTAACAAGGCCTTGTTCCAAAAGAAAGAAAACAAATACCACTGCTTGTGCTTTCCCAGGCAAAGGGAATAAAGCATCCAATCTTAATTACCTGGCCCATCTGTGAGATCCCCCAAGCAAATGATAGCAGCTCTTGAGTACTGGAAGTTTATTTTCCTTATTCCACACATAGACACGCAAAGACAGGTCCAACGAAGAGGTGATGACTCGGTTCAGGTCCTTGAAATGAAGTAAGGTGTGGATGTGGACTCCTGATGGTAGAGCATCCTATGGGCAGGGGCGGGGTGCTGTACTTACCACCCACATGGATGTGATGGGCCTCTGATGGTCCTGAAAGGCTACCAGCTGCAGGCCGTGTATGGTGAACAACACCAGCTCTGACCTGGAGGCCAGCAGGATCATCTGGGAGCCGTGGCCCTGCATGAGGTGAGGCATCATGGTGTCCGGCAAGGGGAAACTGGCCAGCTGTTGTGCTTTGGAGAATAACACATAGGTTGCTTCTCAGGCACAGATGTGTGCCTCACCCATGTTGATTTAATGAACTAGCGCCTTTGCAGTCACTGATGCATGCATTCAGATCCCTAAATCCCAATCTTTCAGCAGCAAAATGTTGGCATGATGTCACCCTCTCAGGGGTACACAGTTCTGTGAACTATGCTCATGGAGGGGGAAGAAAAGAAGGAAGACACCTACCATTCCCTGAATGCTTATAAAGGTAGGATAAGAAATAGCCACATGGGAATTATGACACTTGTCAAAAATTATACTGTATGATTGAAGACACTGTCCTTTCTACCTGGAAAAAAAATACTTCACAGAGAATTCATGGTTTTGATTGTGTGTGTGTGTGTGTGTGTGTGTGTTACATGTGTGGGTGTGTGGTGTGTGTGTTTTTGTTAGACCAGGGACATATTACATATCCCATTTCTTGTTATTTGCCAGATACTAGGAAACTCAGAGTAAACTTTACGGTCAAATGATATAAAAGTAATCGAACACAGTGCACAAGAAAACAGGTAGAGGACCACAAAAAAGGCCTGTTAGGGTGATACGGATTTAACCTAAAGAGAGAGTGAGGACAGTGTGGTCTTATTCTCCAATGGGACTAGTAGTTCCTTGGGGTAGAGAGTCCCAGCTTTTACTCATCTTTCTTTGTATCCAGGGCTGAAACAGGGCCTTGGCACAGAAGAGGTAGGAATGGATGCAGGAAGGTAAGTTAGGAGCGGGATTCATGGGTGTGGGGAGAATTAACTATCAGAATCCCAGGGTCACACAGGACCCAACATGTAGTAAGTGCTCCATTACTCAACCAGTGCATGAAATCACAGCAACAAAGCTTACTAGGACACTATGCCTGTCTGTTTCCCTGAGAGGGAAGAGAAAGTGTTCCAAAGAAACTGTGAGAAGCTCATCTTAAAACATCGAACTGCAGGCTGCAGCCAGCACAGGGACCTTACCCAGGATGTTCACTCTATCCCTGGATTTCTTGGTCTTTAACTCAAAGGTAGTGACAACCAGTTGCGTGCCCCTGTCATCTCTGTGCATCACCATCAGTCTGGCTGCCTCATCAGGAGCCCAGCAGGCTCTGGAACTCTGCCTGATGGGGAAGGTGGTGGAGACAGGAGACTTGTCTTCTGACTGGTGTGGCAAGGACTGCGTGTGGAACACCTGAGGAAACATCTCTGTGTGGTCAGAGTGCACTGAGGGAGGGGCTTCTCAGTTTCACTGTCATTCCACTTCTCTTGACTTGCTAGAAAGCTGTGACATGCTTTGTTATGGCTTATAAAATATGTACTTGCTGTGGTGAGCTATTACTTTTGGTGTGTAAACAAACATACCCATGATAACTGAATCCTCCATTCTGTTCCCATTTCTACCTTATATGACCACAACCCTCTATGTTGCAGTTTTAACAATTGAACTAAAATGTTAATCATTTTTTCTTTAAAAATTGTTTCTTTTAACTTCTAAAAAATTTTATTGAGAATTTCATACATGCTTATAAGATTTTTTGATCAAATCCATGCCCACTCCCTCCCCCCCAACTCCTCCCACATCTCCTCATCACTTTTTCCTGACAACTTTGTATACCCTTTCTTCTTTTTGCTATTCTAACACTGCCCCCTCTGAAGAGGTAACCCTAACATCTTTTAAGGATTAGATAAGAGCTCTCAAATACTTTCAACATTTTTGGTCTTTGGAATGGAGGAAGTTGCTAAGAGGCCCAAGGACATTTTGACTTTTAGCCAAGAAACTGGCTACTTTTCTATGGGGGCTCTTTACACTAACAGCCTAGCCAATTCCTACCTCCTCTTAACATACCTCCCCTGAAGAGGTTACCCAACTTGCAGATAGGGAATCGGGATGCAGACCACTCTGGCTTCTTCCATGCAAAACAGGGATGCAGGGTGAGCCAGGTGGAGAACCCCTTCTGTGTGTCTATCTAAGAGACTCCCAAATTGCATATATCTTATCTGTAGGGGGAAAAGAAAGTCCTTGACTGGTGAATAGGAGATGTAAAGGAGAAATAAAGGCAAGAGTAATTAGCATTATAAGTTCTAGACAGGGAACTACATAAATAGATTTTCAAAACATTTATTTTAGCCAAGGAACTGGCTACTTTTCTTGGGGGTCTTTTTTACTTTAACTGCCTAGTCAATTCCCACCTCCTATTCTTATCACACCATCCTCTGAAGAGGCTACTCAAATTGCTGATAGGGAATCAAGTCATAGACTGCTCTGGCTTCTTCCATGCTGAAAAGGGATGCAGGGGGAGGAAATTGTGGTACCCCCTCACTGGGTCCATCCAAAAGATTCCCAAATCATATAACAAAATGTCATTGGGGCTCTTAGCAACATACTGTGTTCCAAAGGCCAAAAACGTCAAAAGTATTTGGGAGCTTGTATCTAATTCTTAAAAGATTTTAGGGTTACCTCTTCAGAGGGGGGAAGGAAAAAACAAAAAATGATGCACCAGAAAACCAGAGGTCCAGCCCATTGCTCCCTGGTTGGAGAAAGGAGGCAGAAGAGCCATCCAAAGGTAAGCCACCCAAAGGTGCAGAGGGTGTAAGGGATCTTACCCTCAGGATAAGTCCACAGTCCTCACACCTAGTTAGATTTAGGCTTTGATGAGATCATGATTCCCTCAGAGGATGGGTCAGCACTGGAAAGGAACCCATTTTGTCACTGTATGACTTAGAGAGCAGTGTCCAGGCACCACAGTGTACAAGGAAACCTAAAATGGGACCACCTTTGCGTCCTGCGAGCTGACAAAAGCATACAAGTTGGAAAGCCTGAATTTCAGCTACAATACAACACCAGGGGGTAAGAACGCGTGAAAGCAGAGAGATCAGGAAAGCCAGATACTAAGCTAGAAAATGCTGGTGGCAGGACGCTCAGCCCAGGCACTGAAGTGATGCAGAGCAAGGTTCAGCTGACAAATTTATGGTTAGAATGATGACACAGCCAGCAAGAACCTCTTGCTTTGCGTCCTGATAAAACTTCCTCAGTTCTGTTTGAGATGGATACTTCTGCAATGACTTTCAAACGGGATAGTGTTTAAATCATATTCTTTTTCTAAATTTATAATATTTTACCTGGTTTAAACACTTTACTGATAGCCAATCAATATTAAAGTTGTCTTCTCACTGTAATCCCATGTCTGAAGTTTAAAAGATATGTGCTACTTCCCTTCCGGGTCTAGATTTTGAGGCTTGAGCCCACTGGACAAAACTGCAGCCTTAATAAAATACCTGCTTCCTGTAGGGTGTCCTGCTGGATCTTTCCTGCAATAGACACAGACAAAGACTAGGCGCAGGGGTCAACTGAACTCTGGGATTTGATACCCTGAGGTCTGAGGTCAGCAGGTGAATCAATCACTGGCGCCACCTATAGGCCACTGGCTGCTGTAGAGTCTGAGAACTCTCAACTTCCAGCAAATGCTTGCTATCCATAACTTCCCCCTAGCAAGGTGATGAATAACTTTGGCTTATCTGGAAAGTACAAAGACAAGTCCTCTGCCTACACAGAGCTCAGTGCTATCTGTAGTTGCTTCCCAGGCTCCTAATTAAGTTGGAAGATGCCTCTCAGCTATAACACTAGCCACTCCAAAGAGTACAATCTAGGACACTTTCAAGGGGGTGGGAAAACTTGGGCAACCCACAGACTGTAAGTCCATGTGCGGCCATCAGAGAGCCCTGGATATGAAGAAGTGAAGCTACTACAGGGAAGACAGCTCTGGGGAACATTGCACACTTGGCCCACAAACTCAACGCCAGCCCAGACCACAGGGAAGACAAGTGTCAACACATTCACCTGACACCCTGCCATGCATGAAGCTGGCAGCATTCACATTTTGACGACCCAGAAAGCACCTGCTCTCACATCTCATCTTTTATCTTTCCTCTCATACACTCTTCTTTATATAATAACACTTTTGTAGTACTGTCGCTTTTACTAAAAAATTAAATACAGTACTAATTTTTATTCCCCTTCATCCATCCAATTTTGCTTATATACTCTGGTCATTGTTGGACTTCTGCTTTTTCTTTTTAAAACTAATTTTTATCTTTGCTCTGTTTCCTTATTTTCATTTTTCTGCTCTTATCAGTATTTTCACTTTTATCTTATTGGGTGGTTATATTAGTTACTTTTCTGTGGCTGTGACAGAAACACCATGACCAAGGGAACTTATAAAAGAAGAGTTTATTTGAGCTTATGGTTCCAAAGGGGCAAGAGTCCATCATGGCAGGGAAGCATGACGGCAGAGGTGGCTGGAGAAGGAGCGATAGAGGAACTGGAGATTGGGCAAGGCTTAAGAACTCTCTAGGCCCACTCTCAGTGCCATGCTTCCTCCAGCATGGCCGCACCTCCTAAAATTCCCCCCAAACAGCACCACCAACTGGGGACAAAATATCCAAATACTTGAAGTCTATAGGGGTCATTCTCATTCAAGTCACCACAGTTGTTTTGTGTGTTTGGGTGTTTTATTTTTTTAAGACAGGGTCTTATGTAGCCCAGTCTGGTCTGAATCACCATGCATCTGAGGATGACTCTGAACGCCTGGCTCATTGGTTTGCTTTTTAAAAAATAGCACTTATGGAGGGATAGTATTGTAATGGCCCCAAATAGAGTCCCCAAACTGTAATAGCCAAAGTAACTTAATTTTCTTCATTTTGTATAAAGCAGCCACTTTAAACTTCAAAAGCCAGAAAAACGGCCAGCTTCAAGGTTGAGTCTGAACTTAGTTGCTTCCCCTTAGAAGAGTGCTTTGTTTGGAGTAGCTGACCTTGGTCACCTCCCAGACACTGCAGCTGTGCTTCTTTCCTAGCCAAGAAGCCTCAATAACAATAGTAATCAGAAAGTTCCTTACTGTCAAGGTCTCTATACATCTGTCAAAAGAAGGACTAACTAACCCAAGCTTGTTTTGGCTTCTGTAGTTTGCTTATCTGCTAACTTGGGCTGTCCTGACCATACTCAGGACCACACAGGTGAGGGATGAAATTCTTATGGTATTTGTGGGCTTTTGCCTTTATAAGCTAGTTTCACCCAGCCCTTGGGCATGGGTCCTGAATCTGACAAGGGACCACAGAGAGCTATAGCCCTAATAAATCTGACCAATTAAAATCTGCATTGGGTCTGGTGGTCTTTTCCAGGGGGTCTCAAACTCCATAACAGTATATAGAAAATAATTTGGGTGGTCTCTCCCTGGAACCTGGGAGTAACTTCTTAAGGCAGCGGTAGAAGTGTCTTTGCTAGTCACCATGGGCCTCTTAGAGCTTAACAAGCAGTTTATAAAAACCCTTAGTTTATGCTAATAGGATGCTGTGTAGCACTTTCCCTCAAGATAATTATTCCATCTGGAGCAGAAGTTCTTTAAGACACAGGATGTTGTAAAGGGAGGTGAAACAGTCCATCCTGCAGAGAAGCTCATTGAGCTAAGGAAGTAAACAACTCAAAGGTTGTAAGAAGTCCCTGAAATTGACCAGATACACTAAACTTCCTCCCCCAAGTATCAGACAAGCTGAACTGCCTAGAAGTGGCTCAGACACCCCACCTGCCTGGAAGAGACACTTTCTAAGCTGTTGAGCTGCTGCAGGTTGCCCAATGAACTCCAGGTTTCCTGCTTTCATGAACTGTCACCATGTTGGGGTGGGCTTTTGGTGATGCAGCTCTCTTTAAGTCACTTCTGCTTCCGCGTACATGTTAGTAAACCCAGTAAAACTCTTTGGTTCACCAAGTTGGATATTGGTGGTATCCTTACTTTGGCCTGTTGTCAGTTCCCTATCTGGAGCAAGTAGACCTTTGTTTGTGGGAGACAGGCTTGAGCCTAAAGCAGAAGTCCTAACGACAGCCATACAGCAGGCGTGACGCAATGGCCTGACCACTAGAGCCATGAGGGACGCCTTGTGATTATCACTCCATTTAGCAAGTCTTAGGGCTGACACTTAAGGCTCGCCACTCCCTAGGCACCACCCCTTAAAATTCCAGGTTTCGGTTTATCTACAGCTTGAAGCACGTGGGCAGAACAACAGACATGGTCACATGATTTACTGAAACCAGGGCCGCCCATATCAGGCATAGTCCTTGTATCCTGTCTGATTGGTCCCAGAACCAGGGCTGCCCATACATGGCATAGTCGTTGCATCCTTGTTTAATTGGTCCAAGAACCTTATATAAGCTGGTAAATTCCTCAATAAAATAGATCTGCGTCGCTGAACCTGGTCTCCTGTGTCTGAATGAGGCTCCGCCGACACAGTCTCCTCACCAGCCCTGGGGTCCGGGATCGGGTGGTGGCATCAATTTCATGGACAGATGGCCATATTTGTTCATATCTTCCCCAGGAATAGATTAACACAAAATATGACAACTCAGGTTTGGTGCACAACAACCAAATACATGATTAGAGGACTGGGATTTGGAGCAGCATCTTATCAATCTGGTAGCAGCCTGACCTCTGTAATTCTATTTATAGAAATGTTCAGAAGAGGCAAATCCAGAGAGACAGAGTAAGATGCCAGTGGCTAGGGAAGGAACAAAATGCATAGTGACTCCTACTAGGAACAGGGTGGTTTTGGTGCTGATGATACCTTCTGAAATTAGAGGTGATGTTTATGAAACAGTGATATACCCAGAGCCACTGACCTATACACTCTGAGAAGTTGAGTTTGAAGTTGGAGATGTAGCTCTGTACTACAACACTTGCCTAATGGGTATGAGACTGAGTTCCATCCCCAGCACTGCAAGAAAAATAAACAAAATGAAAATACATAAAATATCCCTTATGGCTCCCTCCCCCATCTTACATTTATTTAATTTTGTTTTAAAACTTTCTTGCTATTGTGAAATCTTTTTCCTTTGTTTCTTTTTAATTTTTTTTTTTTTGGTCTTTTAGAAGCAGGGTCTATCTGTAGCCCCAGCTGTCCTAGAACTCACTATGTAGACGAGGCTGGCCTTGAACTCACAGATATCTACCTGCCTCTGCCTCCCAAGTGCTGGGACTACAGGCATGCACCACCATGCCAGGCTCTATTTATTTATTTAATATTTTAAAGATGGGCTCTCATATATCCTAGGCTGGCTTTGAACTCTTACTTCAGGCGTGTGTGCCACCACATGGGCTCTATTTATTTATTATTTTAAAGATGGGCTCTCATATATCCTAGGCTGGCTTTGAACTCTTACTTAGATGATGGTGACACTGAACTCCTGGTCCTCCTGCTTCCAGTTCCTAGAGTGCTAAGATTATAGGTATGTTATCACATGCCCAGATAAATGTTTTTCTAATCTTGTGCTCTTTTCTTCTAACATGCTTATTTACTCTTTGTCATAAACAAAACAAAACAAAACTCATTTAACTTTGTTACTCCTCCATGGGTTCCCCTTTCTGTCCCCTTCCTTTACTTAGGATATATGGAGATAGACTGAATGGTCTATTTCTAACTTCACAGCATGTTCTACATTAGTTTTGCCATTTAAGGTCACTGGCGACACGAACATATGATTACTGGGCTGTAAAGTGTCAAGATAAAGGAACACACTTCAGTCTATTCGTACTGCACTTACAGTAGTTTTCTTCTCTCTAGTGGATGCTGGGTACTGAGTTCTCAAGAGCAAGCTGCTCAGTAAGAAAAGATAAAACCAGAAGAGGCTTCCAAACAAACAGATGTGCAAATCACAACACAAAAACACAGGAAACACGACAAAGTAAGGCAGTATCACTCCTCCAAAGATCATAACCCCTCAACTGCTGCAATCAAAACTACTGAACCAGGTAAAATGCCACATGAAGACTTCAGAAGCTCATCAGTAACAAAGCATACAAGCAGATAGGTTTAACTCAGTACCTGCAGAGGCAGATCAGCAACATAGGAGGAAAAAAAAAAAAAAGGAAGAAAAGCCCCCAAATGGAAGAAAAATTCAGCAAGGAAAGTGAGCTTTTTGTAGAAATAAAACCACCTAAATAGACTGTTCTAAGATAACCTGGGCTACACAGCAAGACCCTGTATTTTTTTTTTTTTAAAGAAAGGCTTTGAGGGGATAGAGGTAGTAGGGATCAAACTTAGGATTTCACAAATGCAACTAAGTTCTCTACCATTTTGTTACATTCCCATCCCTGACTCTGATTTTGATCTGAGCTGACAGATTATTTTCTTTGCTTTCCTTTTCTCCTCCTCCTTTGGCACAGGGTCTCACTGTGTATGTAGCCCAGGCTAGTTTCAAACTCAGGACCCTCCTGCCTCAACCAATCAAGGTGTGATGATGCATGCCTATAATCCCATCACTTGAGAAAGACTCCTGATTCTCCTGAATCAAAAATCCAAGGTCATCCTTGGCTAGAAAGCAAATTCAAGATAAGCCTAGGATACCTGAAACCCTGTCTCAGAAAACAGAGAGAGCAACAAAACCTAGCACATGGCCAGCAGTCTACATGCTCCCCCTCTACACCCCTTTAATCACAGTGTGACTCTGCCATCTGCCCAATCTTTGTTAATGAGTTCTCTAAATCTGTCATTTCTTTTTTACAACTTTAAAATTGCTGCTAAAATTTATCTCCATGATCACAGTAACCCACTAGTGTTTCAATGGCCATGTCTAAACCCTGTGGCTCTCTTCACATGGTCTGCTGCTCATCCTGCTAATTCCAGGATGAATTTGAAAATAGAAACATGTAAGGCTGAGGTACAACTATCAGGAATGGATTTCCACTTACTTGTACAAAGGGACCAGGCAGCTGGGCTACAGCCTATGCAACCCCCTGCCCTCACTTAGTCTGAAGCACCTGCTCATCTCAGCATTGCATGAAAGTTCACAGGGTCCATCCGTGGTGACCTGTATTCTAACTCTTCCTTCTAAGCTGCATTGGAATAAATGACTTTAAGGCAGCTCACCACTTTGATTTTTTGTGTCTCCTGTATTAAGGTCTAAGAAAGTTTGTTTTTCAGCTCATTAGAATCACTAAATGATTATTATTAGGATTTTGTTGTTGCTGTTTGGTGATTCTATGCAAGCAACCTAGGCCTCATGTTTGCTAAACAAACCCACTACAACTTAGCTACATCAATAACCTGTTGCAACTAAGCTACATTACTAGCCTCTGCTCAACAAATGTATTACCACTGAGGTACACTGCCAGCCTCTTTTCTCCCATATGTTTTGATACAGTCTCACCAAATTGCCCAGGCTGGCCTGGAAACTATGATTCCATCTCCACCTTCCAAGTAGCTAGGATTACAGGTGTGAGTCACCATGCCTGGCTTACTCATCATTCCTATTTTCAATTCATTAAAAAACTGTTAAGAATGCAGGAGTGGGGCTGGAGAGATGGCTCAGTGGTTAAAAGCACTGACTGCCCTTGCAGAGGACCAGGGTTTCATTCCCCAAACCCACATGGTAGATAGCAACCATCTGTAACTCCAGTTCCAGGGGATCTGATGCCCTCCTCTGGTGTCCATGGCCAATGCATGACACAAGTGTACTTACATACATGCAGGCAAAACTCTCATATACATATAATAAGAAAAATAAATAAAATTTAGGGCTTGGCATCTCTCAGACATACATTCTCTGTGTGTGACCAGTTATGGAACTCCCATGGCTCAGAGACCACAGCAGAAGAGGGGGTGGAAAGATTGTAAGAGCCAGGGTTGGTGCATAAATATAAGGAAATAGAGGCTTACAGGCCTCTGGAAGTTGCTCAACCTGCAGCAATGGTGACAGCATGAATTAAGACCTATGCTGAGTCAATCAGACAAAATCCAGCATAGAACTGGGGAAATGGGCAGCAGGAACTATTGGCAACTGAATACTTCTGGGTGAGAGAGAGCTGATATTCTTTAAGGGAGTGACTCTAGATAGGCTAGACTCCAGTGGATGAACTTGTACAGAGGGACATCTGGGTACAAATGCTTGACTGGAAGGACTTAACATACATATGTATATATGTATGAGACAGAATGCATGAAATCTGGGGGGGAGGGGTCTAAGTATGATTAAATATACATAAAATAACACTTTTGAAAAGAGAATTCAGGAGTGAAGAAAATTTGCATGTATTAGACTACATCACAAGTCGACAGACAAGAAAGCAAGGGTACATGACTGCAAAACCACAGAAAACACACAGCAGGTTCTCACCACAAAGAGGTTACAAAGAAAGGCTGTTCCACACACACACAGCTGAAGGAGAGAGGAGCCTGCATTCCACATGTTGGGTAAGGAGGAATCAGAATAGCAGAGGGCACCTGGTTCTACCCACCACAGTGGCCCAGACCCTGAGAAGTAGTTAGGCCCTTAGAGGCTCCTGAGAGCCAGTTTACTTACCAGCAGGAAGGTTCCGTCTGGATGGTCACAGGCCTCCATGGCAGAAGAGGAGGTTGGCAAGCAGAAGGAGGCCTGTTCACACCCAGTCTCTGCTTTCCACACAATGATCAATCCCTGTGTGTCCACAGTAACAACCAGCTGCAGCTGAGGATAGGCCACCAAACTTACCAGAGGAGCAGGTTGCACAGGGCTGGACCAGATCTCTGTGCCCTGGGAACAACAAAAGTAACATAACAAACACAAGGGTCTATTTATTCCATAAATATATATTACTTTCATCAACATTATGCCTGTGCCTACTCTACGCCAGGCTCCATAGCACACACAAAGCACAGAGGTGAAAAGACATTATCCATCTGTAATGGCTAATACTACTTTTTTTCCTTTTCTTGGAGGGGGTCCTCCCTGTAGCTCCAGTGGGTTAATAGCACTGTCTGGTCTTGCAGAAGACCCAAATTCAGTTCCTAGCACCCATAGGGTGGCTAACAACTATCCATAACTCTAGTTCTAGGGGATTCAACGACCAATTCTGGCCTCCACAGGCACTGCATGACATGGATACACTTACATACAGACCGGCAAAACACTCACATACATAAAATAAAAATAAATTTTAAAAAAGATATGGGTCTTTGGAAGACATTGGATCCAAACCATGATACTAGAGAAGTAAAATGAAGGGCATTTACCACCAGTAGCCTCTCATTATAAGAAATGCTTAAAAGAGGGCTTGAAGAGTTGGCTCTGTGGTTAAGACATTTGCTGTGCAATCATGAGAACTGGAGTTTGGATCCTAGTACCCAAGTAGCAACATAGGCATGCTGTAAACACCTGAAGCTCCAGCCCTGAGGGACCTAATACCTTCTTCAGACTCCCACGAGCATACTGGCACACAGAGACACATACACACATAAATAAATCGTTTTAAAAGTGCTTAAAGAACCCTGTAATTTGGATGTAGAAAGATGAGAATTACTACTATGAAAACATGCAAAATAGGTTGGACATGGTGGCTCATGCCTGTAACCTCAAGGTCATCTAGAGCTGCATAGTAAGTTCCAGCCAGGGCTACATGGCAAAACCCCATATCAAAAAGCCAGAAGAGAAGGAAGAAAAAAAAAGGCAGGGTAAAGGCCAAATCATTAGCATTGGTTCCATTAACTCGAAGGACTAGGAAAAAGGGACAGAGGCTATTCGTTAAATCTTTAATTTAAATTAATTTTCTAAAAGTAAGTTGACTTTTTTAAAGTCAACTCACTTCCTCTCTTGTGCTGGGACTTGAACCCCACACATGCTAGGCAACTGCCTGACATTTTTGTTTTAGGAGTTTTCAATGAACAAAATTATATGAAGAAGCCAGGTGTGAAAGCATATACCTGGAATCAGCACTGGGGCAGCTAAGGCAGGAGAATCCCAAGTTCAAAGCCAGCCCAGGCTATGTAAGAACCTACAAAACAAAAAGACATGGAGGAATTTTTAAATGCATACTGCTACATGAAAAACACCAATCTGGAAAGGCTGCATGCTAATTCCATTTGGGTTACTACAACAAATTGAAGACTGATTTACAAAGCATAGAAATGATGATCTTCCCACATTTCTGGAGCTAAAAATTCCACAACCAAGGCATAGGCAGGTTCAGTTGTCTGGTGAAGGTTTTCTTTCTGTGTCTTCACGTGGTAGATGGTAGAAGGGAGAGATGTGTGGAAACTCCCCCACTCCCCCCTACTTCCTTTCACGAGGGCATATGAAATTCTACCCTCAACCATCTCCAAATGGCACACACCAAAAACTATGATATTGGGAAATAAGTTTCAACACGACAGTGTCAACGGCATCAACTGAATTTTTTTTTTTTTTTTCGGTCTTTTTGAGACAGGGTCTCCCTGCCCCAGTTGTGCTGGAACTCACTATGTAGACCAGGCTGGCCTTGAACTCACAGAGGTCCACCTGCCTCTGCCTCCCGAGTGCTGGGATTAAAGGCGTGCACCACCACGCCCGGCTCAACTGAATTTTTAAAGAAGAAAATACAGCTGAAGATTTATGAATTAAGGCTGGGAAGCCAGTCTGAATGGCATGAAGGGCTGCTGGCATCTTGAGGCTGTCCCATACTTGAACAATGGAGCATACTAATGCAAGGTCTGGCACACCATGGTCTATGGCAAAACCAGTCCACTGACTACTTTTGTATTGTGGTTTAAAAAAAAGAATATTTAATAGCATGAAGTTTTATTGGAATAAACTACTCTCACTTGTTACACACATCATTTGTGGCTCTGTGTTACAACAGCAGACAGATTCTGGCCTACAAAGTCTACGGTATTTACTAGCCAGTCTTTTAAAGAAAAGGTTTTCTGGCCCTTACAACAAAGCACTTTGTTTTCTTTTGGCAACTAAGGAAAGCCCAGTTCTCGAGTATTTTTTAAATTAATTCATTAGTTAGCTGTTATTGTGTGCATGTGTACACATATACCAGTGGATGCATGTGGAGGTCAGAGGACAACTCGTGGAGTCTATTGTCTCCGTTCATCTTGGCATGGGTTCCAGGGATCTAACCCAATGGTCAGGCTTACTCAGCAAGCACTTTATCCACTGAGTCATTCTGCCACCCCTTCAAGTCTTCTGCCTACCCAAGAGCCTTTGTTATGGCTCTCTTGTGTACTAAGTCCATTTAGAAGGAGCTTGTTACTGGTAAGAGACAGCATCCACTTCCAGCAATGGTGATGAACAGTGGGAGCCGAGCACCCATTTGCTACGAGGTTAATCTTTATGGTACTGGAAATTAAGTCAGGGTTTTGCTTACACTAGGCAAGTCCTCTACCAATGACCTGCACACCAACTCTGATGCTTTTGTTATGCAAATAAAACAAGGCAATAAAGGTCTTAGACAGCAAAGCAGGGCTGGGGATGTAGCTGAATGGGTATAGCACTTGCTGATAAAACATGAAGAAAGCCCTGGGTTCATTCTTCAAGATGTATAAACTACATATGGTGGCCCATGCCCTTGGAAGGTGTAGGCAGGAGGATGAGAAAAAAGATCATCCTCAGTTACATAGTGAGTTCCTGGTCAGCTTGGGATACAGGAGACCCTGTTTCAAAAAAATAAAGGTTGGATGTGGTGGCACGCAGCCTGACAGATCTCTGGGATCGAGGTCAGCCTCATATATACTACATAGCAACTTTCAGACCAACTGGGGCTACAGGGAGACCTTGCCTCAAAACAAATAAAAACCCAAACAAAACAAAAACAACAAGAGTGAAATAATCTTCCAGGCTTTAGAAACAGCTCCCTCATAGGAGAGGTTGGAGTGTATGTACATGTGGCCCGGGAATAATCCCTGTATTTGTAGGAGACCACATGGTTCAAGTTTCAGAGATATCTTCCCTCCCAAATGTAAAGTCAGGATGCTGACAGTGAATATCCTCACTGGGGATAGTGCCCAGTGACAGAAGTCAGTGGAAAAGCACTTGCCTGGCATGTGCAAGGCCAGTACAGAAAGGGACAGGAAAGCAAGTAGATTGGACCACTTTTATGTGGTCCAATCCAGAAATTTTATTATGAAGAAAAAAAGCTGAGTATGGTTCACACCTGTGAGCCCAACACTCAGGACAATGAGGCAGAAGGCACAGGAAGATTTCTGCACGTTCTAGGCTAGCCTGGGCTACAGAATGAGATTCTGTCTTACAAACACCAGCAAAACAAAAAAGTTTTCAGTTTTCAGATTTGTACAAGAACTAACAAAGGTTAAAATTCTAACAGAGCTAGCCCAGTTTGCAGTATATGCACACAGGGGTGACTAAAAGCTGTACATATCTTGGCAAAACTGCTTGGTGGGGCAGTATCAGGTCTAGCATGGAGGATCATGTGGCTGAGTCACTTGCAGTGAAAGTGAGGAATGGTAAAGCAGCTGTCTTCCCAGGCACAGGCCAGAACAGCCCCCACCACCACAGACAAAGTCAGGTTGCAAGAGAAAGCAAGGAAGCACTGGTCACTCTCCAGTTTCAGAAGTCCTCCAGGCTTGTTACCAATGTGACCCACTGGTGATGGCTGCTTGCAGAGCTGGGATTCATCTGCTCCCACTCCCCACCTCAGAAGTCCTCTTAGGTGATTATATCAAGGACACAGTAAGGACCCTTGCCTTTTCTCCCCAGGGGCCAGCTCACCTCATGCAGATCCCAGGCACGCACGGTACAGTCTGATGACACAGTGCACACCACAGACTTCGCCCCTCCATCAAAGCGGTACTCATTTGGTGAGACGTAGGCCAGCTGATCTATTTGTCCTGGAAGAGAACATAGGCATGGATGGACTGAGATCTGAATATGCAACTTACAGTTCCGTGGCAGCAGGTGGGCACTTCTGAGAGCAGAACCCAGTTATAATGACAAAGCCCCAGCTCCTCTTAAGTTTTCAGACTGCTCTAAAAAAAAGAGGTTAATGGCTCATTCCTTCCTCCCATGACATAGTACAAACGGAATAGTATCCAACCAGGCCTTTATTCATCAAGCAACATTTGCCAAGCCACTGGCTGAGATGCCAAGTCCCCTAAGTAGAGAGGGCGGGCAGTGGGAATGGATGCAGCTACTACATTGCTCCCATCATACCTGTGTGCCCAGAAATAGCTTTGCAGACAAAGTCCTGTGGTCGCCCGGATTCCACACGGAACTCCAACTCAGACCGGCATAAATAGTACTGTTTCCATGTCTGTGTGCCCAGGACCACTGAGGGGGGTTTGCAGGGGGCCCAGCGTCTCAGGCACAGCTGCCTAGGAAACAGAACCACAGGCTGAGGCAGGATACAGCAGTCATAGATTTTGAACCCAGTAGACTTAGCTTTGAAACGCAGGACAACTCACTGTCCCTATCTAGGCATCAACTTCCTCCTTTGTAAAATAGGGATAATAACTACAGTGTGCTTTTTTAACGTATCTTCATAGCAACTCTATGAAGAAGGTCTCATTGCCATTCTGTACTTGAGGACACACTGGAACTACATTCAAGAGCCTACCTTGGCAAGCTGCCTATCATTTCACTGTCTCAGCCCTTTGTATATACTGTTGCTGTAATATTGGGGCACATACAAGGCCATATTTTCTTGCTAGACTATTATCAATACATAACATACTTCAGTACCTGTAGTGGCATGCTTGGCCTCCAAGTCTATTCTGTCTGGTATTAGTAGCCATTTAGCTCTGTTTTCATTAATATTTGCATAATATATCTTTCCCCACTATTCTGTCAAAAATGTCTTTTTAAAAATTTTACTTTTTATGTGTGTTCTGCCTGCATGTATATAAGTGCACCTGTATCCTGCAAATTGCCCATGGATTTCAGAAGATGGTATCAGAAACCCTGGAACTGGAGTTACAGATGGCTATGAGCCCTCATGTGGGTGCTGGGAACTGAACCCAGGTCCTCTGCAAGTGAAGCCAGTGCTCTTAATCACTGAGCCATTTCTGCAGCCCCATATCTATGTCTCTTAATCTAAAGTGTGTCTCCAGGATGGGGCATAGCTATAGTACAATGGTAGCCAAGCATGCACAGTGGTACTGGGTTTGATCTCCAAACCTACTAACAAAAAACAAAGGAGGGAAAAAAACATATCTCATGTAGACAACATTAAGGTTGGGCCATTTTACTTTACCAATTCTGTCAATCTTTGCCTTTTCATTGGACTGTGCAATTCATAGTTTTTATAATTTACTATTTTCTGATGCCTTTTCTCTTCCATTCCTTCATTACCATTATGTTTCATGTTCAGTATTTTCTAGTGTACTACTTCAATTGCTTTATCATTTCTCCCATCACATTTTTTTTTTTTTTTTTTAGTTTTCAGTGGTTGCCTTAAGAATTGTAATTTGTCCCTCCGTGTCTCTGGGCCTGCAGGACCCACAGGCTTCTCTCTAGGAGGTAAGTTGATTGGGCTCTCCGTGCCTTGACTCGCCCAGCCTGGGCCCTGTCCCATTCCTTGTCTTGGCGCCCCAGCCCCTGGGGACCCCAGGGGCCAGGGGGACCACCTCCTGCCCCCATCTTCCTTTGCATCTCTAGGAGGAATGGCCAACAGCTGCCCTAGACCAGCATCTTTCCTGGGCCTGGCTCCCAGTCCAGTCCAACCCCTAAATTCCTGAGCCCAAAATCTATCCTTGAGGGATGCAGACCTTAGGAGAAAGCCTGAAAGCATCTGATCCTCATATGACTTGGGCCTCGGTGGAAAATCCTAAAGAAAAAAGCAATCTGGCAACTTCAATATAAAATTAAAAGAGAGAGCTGGAAGCTTAGAGGAACCAGCCTTTCATGACCAAAAAGTAAACCACAAAGATACATAAAGTTCACAAAAAGGATCAAACCTAAACTTGAAGGCTTGAGTCTCACACAAAAATCAGAAACTACAGAAGAAATTTATGTCAAAATCACAGAAAGAATAATGACATGAAAAACCAAAATAACATATCCCCACCAAATACCAATAGTCCTCTAGAGGAGTACAATGAGAACCCCCTAGACATAATGCAGGACATAGAACACAAAAGAACAATTATAAAAAAATGATAAAAGAATTCAGTGAATTTAAAGAACACACAAAAAAATCAAAGAACTGAGGGAAGATAGGGATAAACTTCAGAATGAATTCAGAAAAGAGTTAGAAATATTGAAGAATACTCAGGCTGAAATGAAGAAGGAAGTGAAGCACTCAGTAAGCCAATTAGAAATGACAGGAGAAAGCCTCACCAAAGGATAAATGAAACAGAGGATCAAAACTGGAAGATGAAGTGGATGAACTAGACCACTCAAGCAAAGATTATGAAAAATTTAAGAAATTACAAGAATGGAATATGCAGGAATTGTATGACACCATAAAAAGACCAAACTTATGAATCACGGGCATAAAGGAAGGAGAAGAATCCCAAGATAAGGGCATGGACCAGATCCTCAACAGAATTGTGGAAGAAAATTTCCCAAAATTAAAGAAAGAGACACCCCCACACAAATACAGGAAACATATAGAGAACCCAATAGACAGAACCAGAAAAGAAACTCCCCATGACATATCATAGTAAAAGCACTAAATGTACAGAACAAAGAGAGAATACTGAAAGCAGAAAAAGAAAAAAACAAGTCACATATAAAGGAAAACCCATTAGGATTACAGCTGACTTTTCAGTGCAAACTATGAAACCCAGAAGAGCCTGGACCACAGTATTCCTAGTTTTAAATGACACAGATGCCAACCCAGATTATTATACCCAGCGAAAATGTCTATAATAGTCGAAGGGGAAAGAAAAATATTCCATGACATAAATAGGCTGAAGGAATTCATGTCCACAAAACCAGCCCTTCAGCGAGTTCTAGAAGCAAAACAAAGAGCTAAAGAAAGAAATGACTATACCCAAGAGGTTGCGGAGAGAAATTCAATGAAGGTATAACTGTGGAAAAGTACACCTACATCACGAATGCAAATAGGAATAAAAATGACAGGATTCAATACTCATCTTTCATTAATAACTTTAAATATTAATGGACTGAACTCCTCAGTCAAAAGACAAAGACTAGGTGAATGGGTTAAGAAACAAAACCCATATTTTTGTTGTCTGCAAGAAACCCATCTCAATTTCAAGGACAGACACTATCTTAAAGTGAAAGGATGGGAAAAAATATAATAAGCAAACATACTAAGAGCAGGGGTAGCAATTCTAATATCTGACAAAATAGACTTTAAACTAAAACTAATCAGAAGAGATACAGAAGGCCACTTCATTCTGATCAAAGGAACACTAAATCAAGAAGATATTACATCAGGAATACCCAACTTCATAAAAACAATACTACAGGACTTTAAGACCCAGATTAATCCCAGCTCATTAATAGTAGGGGACTTCAATACCCCACTGTCTCAATTAGATAGGTCAACAGGGCAGAGAGTTAACAGAGAGACATCTGAATTAAACAATACCATATATCAAATGGACTTAACAGACATCTATCGAGAATTCCACCCAAGCACCAAAGAACATACTTTCTACGCAGTACCCCATGAAACATTCTCCAAAATCAACCTTATACTGGGGAACAAAACAAACCTCAACAAATATTAAAAGACTGAAACAGTTCCATGCAGTCTATCAGAACACAATGTAATAAACTTTACAATCAATACCGGAAGAAGCCCTAATCACCACATGAACACATGGAGATTAAACAAAACACTCCTGAATGATGAATGGCTCTAAAGAAAAATTGGGAAATTAAGAAAGAAAAGTATTCCTGGAATTAAACAAAAAGGATAATACAACATGACAAAACCTATGGGACAGGCTGAAAACTGTCCTTAGAGGGAAGTTTATAGCTCTAAGTGCCTACATCAAAAAATCAGAAAGATCACAAATAAATGACTTAACATTGCAACTCAAGACACTTGAAACGCAGCAACAAATGAAACCCAAAGCCAGCAGACAAGAAGAAATAACTAAAATCAGTGCAGAAATTAATGAAATTGAATTAAAAAAAAAACAATACAAAGAATCAACAATTCCAAGAGCTGGTTCTTTGAAAAGATAAACAAGATTGACAGACCGCTAGCCCGAATAACCAAAAGAAAGAAAGAGCACCTCCAAATCAACAAAATCAGAGATGAAAGGGGAAGCATCACAACAGACACCAGAAAGGTACAGAACATTATAAAGGAATACTTTTAAAACATATATGCTACTAAATTTGGAAACCTAAAAGAAATGGATGGATATCTAAAGGCATGGGAACCACCAAAACTAAACCAAGAAGAGATTAACAACTTAAACAGATCCATAACACAGAAAGAAATTGAAACCTTCCAAATAAAAAAAAGCCCAGGACCAGATGGATTTATAGCAGAATTAGATCTGTCAGACATTTAAAGAAGATCTAGAGCCAATACTACTTAATTTATTCAAAAAGATAGAAATGGAGGGAGAACTTCCAAATTCCTTCTATGAAGCCAGTATCACTCTAATACCAAAGGCAGGTAAAGATACAACCAAAAAAGAAAACTATAGACCCATATCCTTAATGAACATAGATGCAAAAATTCTCAACAAGATACTTGCAAACCGCATACAGACACACATCGAAAAGATCATCTACGATGATCAAGTTGGCTTTATCCCAGAGATGCAGGGATGGTTCAATATATATAAGGCAATAAATGTCATAAATCATATGAATGGGCTCAAAGACAAGAACCACATGGTCATCTCAATAGATGCAGAGAAGGCCTCTGACAAAATTCAACATGCATTTATGTTCAAAGCCCTAGAGAGAATTGGACTACAGGGAACATACCTCAACATAATTAAAGCCATATATAACAAACCCACAGCCAACATCATTCTAAATGGAGAAAAACTGGAAGCATTCCCATTGAAATCAGGAACCAGACAAGGCTGTCCACTATCTCCCCTTTCTTTAACATAGTGCTTGAAAGTCTTGCAAGAGCAGTAAGACAAGATCAGGAAATTAAAGGAGCAATAATTGGAAAAGAGAAAAGAAGAGATCAAATTATGCCTTTTTGCAGATGATATATTATATCTAAGGGACTCCAAAAATTCCACCCGAAAACTCCTACAAATTATTAACATGTTCAGTAAAGTGGCAGGGCTCCAAAATTAACCTATAAAAGTCTATAGCCTTTCCATACACCAATAACAAGAAATCAGAGAAAGAGCACATGGAAACACTCTCGTTCACAACAGCTTCAAAAAAAATAAAGTATCTCAGAATAAAACTAACCAAA